ATGTTGCAGCATGAGTGTTATGGATATTTGGCATATGTTTTTGAATCTAAAGACAAGCCGGTGTCTGTAGAAGGAATTTGGGTAGTGGAAGACTTTCCTAATGTTTTCCCTAAGGAGTTGCCCGAGTTACCTCCAAATAGGGAGATTGAGTTTACTATAGACCTTGTGCCTGATACTACACCAATATCCTAGCAACCTTATAGAATGGCCCCAGCAGAATTAATTGAATTGAAAAAGCAGTTGCAAGAGCTTCTTGACAAGGGGTTCATTAGACTTAGTACTTCTCCCTGGGGTGCTCCGGTTCTGTTTGTGAAAAAGAAAGATGGCTCACTTAGATTGTGCATTGACTATAGACGGTTGAATCAAGTCACCGTCATGAATAAATATCCTTTGTCAAGGATTGATGATTTGTTTGATCAGTTACAAGGGGCTCGTGTCTTTTCCAAAATTGATCTTAGATCGGGTTATTATCAATTAAAGGTTAAACCCGAGGATGTGATGAAGACTGCTTTTAGGAGCAGATATTGGCACTACGAGTTCCTGCTAATGCCGTTTGGTTTAACCAATGCCCCTGCAGCTTTTATGGATCTTATGAATAGGATCTTTCAGTTGTACTTAGATAAGTTTGTCATTGTCTTCATTGATGACATTCTTATCTTTTCTCCTGATGAAGAGAGCCACAAGGAGCATCTTGCCATTGTATTGCAGATTTTGCGAGAAAAGAAGTTATATGCCAAGTTTGATAAGTGTGAGTTTTGGCTGAATCAGATTAGTTTTCTGGGTCATATTGTTTTGAAGGACGGCATATCAGTTGATCCTCGTAAAGTGGAAGCAGTTGTGAAGTGGGAAAGGCTGACTAGTGTCACTGAAGTGTGGAGTTTTCTTGGACTAGCAGGATATTATCGAAGGTTTGTGGAGGGATATTCAAAGATTTCTAGTCCGTTAACACAACTTACTCGTAAGAATCAGAAGTTTGAATGGACAGATAAATGTGAGCAAAGCTTTCAAGAATTGAAGAACAGATTGGTTACAGCACCAATTCTTGCTATTCCCGACAATGGAGGAAACTTTGTGGTATATACCGATGCTTCTCACAAAGGCTTGGGTTGTGTACTTATGCAACATGGATGGGTGATAGCTTATGGGTCTAGACAGCTCAAGACACATGAGAGGAATTACCCTACACATGATTTAGAACTTGCTACCATAATTTTTGCACTCAAGTTGTGGAGGCACTATTTGTATGGAGAAGAATTTGAGGTGCACACTGATCACCAAAGCTTGAAATATTTATTTTCACAAAAAGAGCTTAACTTGAGACAAAGAAGATGGATGGAGTATCTGAATGACTATAGATGCAAAATTGTCTATCAACTTGGAAAGGGAAATGTGGTTGCAAATGCACTTAGCAGAAAATCGACTGGCACTTTAGCAAGCTTAATGGTGATGGAGTGGAAACTCCTAGAAGAATTCAAGAATTTGAATGTCAGATTTTTGCCACCAAAGTCTGATGTACTAGTGTCTAGTCTGATGGTTCAACCTACATTGCTGTCAAAGATCAAGGAAGCACAACAGAAAGATTCAAGATTAATGGAGTGGATGAAGGACAGTGGAAAAAGCTCCAAAATGGGTCTTCATATTTCGGATGATGGAATCATAAGACTTGGAGATAGAATTTGTGTTCCTTATGATGAAGGGTTGAGGACGGAATTGCTCCAAGAAGTACACAAGTCCAATTATACCATTCATCCTGGGAGTACCAAAATGTATCATGACTTGAAAGAGACATTCTGGTGGAAAAGCATGAAGAAGGATGTGGCTAAATATGTGTCCAAATGCTTGACTTGTCAAGTGGTAAAAGCAGAACACCAGAAGCCAGAAGGGCAACTTCAACCTTTGCTTATACCAGAGTGGAAGTGGGAAGCCATCTCAATGGACTTCATTGTTGGATTGCCAAAGGCGAGAAGGCAATTTGATGCAATTTGGGTGATTGTGGACAGATTAACAAAGTCAGCTCACTTTTTGGCCATAAAACAAAAAGACCCATTAGACAAGTTGGCCAAGCTGTATGTTCAGGAGGTTGTTAAACTCCATGGGATCCCAGTGAACATTGTATCAGACAGAGATCCAAGGTTTACTGCGAGATTTTGGAGATCTTTTCAGAAAGCCATAGGAACTCAATTGAAATTAAGCACAGCATACCACCCACAAACCGATGGGCAGTCTGAGAGGACTATTCAAGTGCTCGAAGACATGTTAAGAGCTTGTGCATTAGATTTGCCTGAGAGTTGGGATGATCATCTTCCATTGGCAGAGTTTGCTTATAATAATAGCTATCATTCCAGTATCAAAATGGCACCTTATGAGGCTCTTTATGGTAGGAGATGTAGAACTCCAATTTGTTGGGCAGAAGTTGGTTATGGAAGGGTAATAGGGCCTGATTTTGTGCAGCAAACAACAAAAAAGGTGAAATTAATTCAACAGAGGCTTAAAATGGCTCAAGACAAACAAAAGAGTTATGCAGACAATAGAAGGAGACCTCTGGAATTTGAAGTTGGAGATCATGTATTTTTGAAGGTGTCACCAACTAAAGGAGTGTATTGGTTTGGTTTGAAAGGAAAACTCAGTCCGAGGTACATTGGCCCGTTTGAGATTCTTGAAAGGGTAGGTGAAGTGGCTTATAGAATTGCATTGCCTCCAGAATTGTCAAATGTGCATAATGTATTTCATGTGTCGGTTTTGAGGAAGTATGAGCCGGATCCTTCACATGTCATAAACTATGAACCATTAGAGTTGAAGGAAGATTTGAGTTGCACCGAACAGCCAATACAGATTTTGGATAGAAAAGAAAAAGTTTTGAGGAACAAGACTGTGTCCTTAGTGAAAGTGTTGTGGCGGCATCATTCTGAGAATGAAGCTACATGGGAACTTGAAAATCAGATGAGGGGACAGTATCCAAATCTATTTTGGTAAGCTAAATGATTTGGTGGGCCAAATCCTTTTAAGGTGGG